TTTTGAACATTTAATCACAGTACTTGTTTAACATCCTAAACATTCAATCACAGTACATCAAGCTAACCCGGGAAGTCCCACGAGAAGGCTGGCTGCCCTACCTGAACATGCAGGTAACAACGGCACTTATAAGGGCGAAATGTTGTAGGAAGGGTAGCTCCGAGAAAATAATGATTCATGCAACATCTGCGTACCCAAAGACAGTCAAACGTGCCTTTTACGTAACATGTTTGAGACAGCTATTGGAAAGTGCACTGGCAACGAGGAGCGAGCAGAGTCGAGGCGATTGGCTAGCAAAACAGCTAGTCTTAACGGCAACACAGCACAGGTACGAGGCGATCGAAGGTCCAGCCATTTTCCAAACAGATCCGAGGATAAGTTGTATCTCCGATTACCATTTATTTCGATCTCGATAGCATAGCAATATAGCAGTGCCTAGCAAGGGCAGGTCTAGCCAACAGAAGTTCTGTTGGTAAACACACCAAAAGATAACACTGAACGCCTGCTGGTTAGAAACAGACTCTTTGACCGAAGTTGTGTCATGGAAAACTGTACAATTCTGCCCGTATGGAAAACTTGGAACTGCTCCCAAAGAGGGGTAATCTACCAGCTTGAGTGTTTATCATGTAGAGTACATCAGGGAAACGAGCAGTGTTGAGCGCACGTGTCAAAGATTATATTGCGAGTAAACGACGGGATAGCTTGGCTGCGCTGCTCGGAAAGCATAGAACGGAAGAACATCAGGATTGTGACTTTGGCGTAAAATGTGTAATACTGGTCTATAAAGATGACATCGGCACCAGAAAGACATTGGAAGCTTTCTGGATAAAGCACTATAATCCTAGCATGAACAATAGGAACGAATGCATGTCGATTACTCTCTGATTTCTTGCCGTACATCCCACTATGTGAGCTCTGATACCTTATCGTAGCGCCCGTATTACATTGCGGTTGCGGAGACCTCACTCAGTTTATTACGTCTTCACTGTTGAGTAAGCGACTAGCAGTGGTGGAGTTGTAGTAAGGCGCTTTGTTGCTAAGGGTATTGCTCTGTTTGGTGTTTATCAGAGAGGATGCAAAGGTGTGCGACAAGCCGTTCGTATCCTCGTCGATGTTGTGTCGATAACGGACAGTCGATAACGGTGGATCCCTTGTAGAACTTAGGAACAACGGCGACATCGGTCAGGCAAAACCTTCGATTGAAGATGATGTGGTCGATCTCATTATGGAATTGTCCACCAGGAGACTCCCATGTCCAGCGTAGAGAGTAGGGCTTCTGGAACTGCGAGTTGGATGTATAGGTCGACATGGTAAACTTAGACAGCTTTGTGCGATAACGGAATTCGTCGACTAACGGTGGATCGCCCTTGTAAGAACTTAGGATACAACATGCGGCGACATCGCTCAGGACAAAACCTTTGATTGAAGATGATGTGGTCGACCCATCATGGACTTGTCCACCAGGAGGCTCCCATGTGCAACGGAAACAGTAGGGCTTCTGGAACTGCAAGTTACCCTGCGATCGGTATTAAGCGTCGCCATGGTAAACTTAGACAGCTTTTTCATCTGCTCATTCCTCCATTAAGTGAGTTCGCGCTGTGTAGTTCTTAAACCCGTTCTTCTTGGTCGGCGATCTTAGCATTGAAATCACCGACGATGACCTTGAAGAAGGTATGATCTTCCTTGTAGAGCTTCTCCAATTCCATATAGAACGGTTCGAGCTCATCCTCGTCGTTGATTCTGGTGCGTAGGCGACGAAGATTGTCAAAGCTGTAGTTGAACCACAAATCTTCTCATTCGCAACGGGGCCTCCGATCGTAGCCTCAGATTTTCGTACGAATCGAGATTCGATTCGTACGTTAAGCATGATAAGTTTGCATAAAAGATATGGATTTGTTTATAGGCTCTGATAAAGACGAGTTAGCCGAAACGTCGTCCAAATAAAAGCTATTTCCAGTGTAATAACCTGGTCTGGCATA